AATTTATGAAAATATAGCAATAAAGTTTTTTTTAATATTCTAATTAATATAACTATATAGATATATACACTGAAAATAATCATAATTTTTATGATAAAAAGCTACTGTAAAAACCTTTTAATTGGTTAATTGTGAGTTTCCTAAGTTGAAAACCTGTAAGAAATCTAATGTGACATTTCAGTTCTAAAATACTGTTAGATTTACAATTTTTGGAAGTGGAAAAAGAACAAGTCATCTTATAATTTACAGTGGAAATCTGTAAATTGATATTCTCAGTGTGACTCTTCACATTTGATGTTTTGTCATTGAAATAGCTGTTTCTTCTTAGTTTTTCTTTTTCTTATCAGTTATTTATTTTAGGGCTTTATGTTACATCTTTTGTTGTTAAATTAATGTTTAGTGTCCATGTGTTACCATGATGGCATTTTGTGTTTCTGTTTATGACACTGTACACCTTTATACTGGTTTTTACCTCAGCTTATGGAAAAGCTATTTGTGATAAGCTTTGATTCCGTATGGCTTGTCTTTTTGGTGGTTGTTAGTGTAATGTAAAGGTAAAAATCAGATTTAGCCTAAAATGTTGCTACTGTTTGTTTTACAAAGCTAATTATCCCTGCTGATTGGGTGCTTCTAACACAATGGCTGAAAGATTGATGGCAAATTTGATACCGTTCCCTCTTCTGACTGATGTAATCAGTCTCTCATCAATATGTTTTCTTCCTCTTTTGAAAAATCTTAGAAATGCTATCATGGATTTTTTATTTGCTATTGGAGCAAAATGGAAATGCAACAAATATATTTGATGTAGTTTAAATTCACCACTGTAGAAGTTTACCCAGCTATAACGACTTCCTTTTCTGAGAACCACAGAAATGTCAAAAGTGTCCATTAGCGCTTTTTAGTTATCCGTTTTTAGGACACATCTCCATGTGTATTCTACTCCCTTGTAATCTGGCTGGTACCAACAGTGGTTCACCAGCAATTATCTGCATATTTACTAGGTTGCTTTATATGGTAATAACATGATGAAATCAATCCACGCATATGTTTATTGAGCGTTTTGTACTGCTGTATTGATCGGCGTGAATGTGACCCGATACATTGTTAGCGTGCATCTTCATTATGTCATTTGGGAGAGGTTATTAGAATGGTGTTTAAATGGGCCTCAGCCTGCTGTGTGAATGGATGAAATGTGGTTATGACGAGTTGCCTCTAAAAGTATGGAAGAGAGCTTCAGGAAAAATATTCTGAAGTCTGGTAACAACTTGGGGAAAATGTGATGTTTTGTGTTAATATGTGATTTAGGTTATATTGTATGAAGCATTATACATATATAATATGAATTAATAAATAATTGTATACATCATCTGTTTATGAACAGTGAATGTACTTATACAGTAATTCTTAATTTGCATGTCATTTGCATGTCTCTAGTGGTGCCTGACTTCTTTCTGAGATAAACAAATGTCACGGTATTACTATATCAAATATAAATGACTAAAATCATATTAATAAATATTAATAAGTCATTTGTTTGGATGATATGTATAAAATAGTTTCATTTTAATCTATATGGATATAGATAATATTAAAAATGAAACTGAAAAATGAGCATAGTGCTATTGTTTGACCAATTTCCAGTTTTATTTACCGTGTTTTTCTTGATTTTGTTATACAGTATATAGTAGCTTGTTGTGTAATGTCATGATGACTTTGTTCCTTTACTTAAACTGATACCAAGTCTTGAGGTGTGGCATTTTAAGGTATTTCATGAGTGTGTTGTCTCATTTTAATGTTGTCAATAGTTTTATATAACACATCATTCCATGACATGCATTTCTTATGGAATCATGAGATGAAGCCGTTGTTTAATCTAAATGGTAATTATTGCAATTCCAAATGGTCATTTATTACTATTCACAAGCATGCGGTTCTTTTATAGATTTAATTATATAACATATTATACTAATTTTAAATAGATTAAAAAATATATATATATTTTTACATGGACTCATTTTGAATGCATCAAGGAACCCATTTAACTCATAGTTACTACTGATAGTTAATTCTAAAAATGGTTGTATTCAATTACAATTGATTGTAATCATTTTATTGTGTAGATGTACTGTATGTTTGTCATTATTGTATATTATACAATAGCTGCATGCTTAATTTTTTTCTTTTAGTAACTGACTATATTTTTTGACAAACCTGTAGTAAATGAAGTTACTTGTTGTTTATAGGTTTACAAATGTTCTCTTTAAGCAGGGGAATTTGATAATTCTCTTAACATATGTCCAAATATATCTTGCTAGGCAACGTTTGATCCAGCTTTGATGTGATGTGATCTTACACCTGATAGCCTTGATGGAGTCTCATTATATTGCCTCTGGTTCCCTTGCCGAGGCTCAGAGCAGTGACTGAAGGAGGGGCGCTAGCAGGAGAGGGCATGTGCAATCTCTTTTGTCTGGATATAAAAGAATAAATATCCTGCTAAATCCAGAGTGCTTGCCAGGCCAGCTAAATCTTACACTCAGTATTCACTGCTGTGTTTAGCTTCTCCCTCTCTCGCTTTCTCTCTCCGTCTCTCTGTCCCTCTAATTCCCTCTTATTTCTAAGCAGGAGAGGCAGATGAATTGACTGGCGTTTGATGTGTTGATTGGCAGAAGGTGAAGGACAGCTGTATGTGAGTTTGTCTCGAGGGACGGTGGCTTGATCACTAAATGAAGACCTCTAGTGCTTTCTTGTTAGCCACCATGGATCCACCTTCCAAATAAAGCACAATTAGTTGAAGCACAATTAATGAAGCGAGATCTCTGTGTGCTCACAGTATGAAGCCACAAATCAGTGGTCTCGGGACGCTGTGGGGTATCGGGGTCTAGCGCCTGAGGGCAGAGAGCGATGCTGGACCCATCAGCACCTCTTTGCTGTCTGTCTTTCTCCCAAGTGTGAGAGCTTTGTACTCCCACAAAGAAGCTCGCTTGAAATCCTGGACAGAGAAAATGCAAGACAGGGAAAGCATGAAAAAAAAAAGGTAAAGGAAAGAGGAGCACGATGAGAAGTTGAGCATAAGCGATCCCCTTTGTATTTCTGGCACAGCTGGGCACATCTGATTACATTGAGCTTTAAAGGAATATTGCAGGTTCAATACAAGTTAAGCTCAATTGACAGTATTTGTGGCATAATGTTGATTACCACCAACATTTTCTAAAAAATTAGAATTGTTAGTTACAATTGAAGTGAATAGGGCCAGGTTTTGGAGGACTTTTAACTTTATAAAAGCAATTTCAAAAATCAAATTTCAAGTCACAAATCAAAGTTAAACAAAGGGTTTGTTTTACAGGAAAACACTATTTCAGTCATGCCACTTCAAAATTTCACATTTTATTTCATTTCTTTATAATTAATTGTGGAATTTCTGTGTGAAAATGGTTTCTAAACCTATTTTTATTGTCACTGTAGAACATTTTTGTATATTGTTTGAGCTTTTTATGATCATCATTTTAAGTTTTAGGCATTTTGTCATCATGGCAATAAAGTTGTACATTAAATATTAAATAGGTTAAGTAAAAGGTTTGATTTAGAAACCATTTTTACTCAGAAATTGCTCATAAATTTTACAAACAGTTATAAAAACACAGTAAGTAACATTGAATTAAACATGAAATTTTGAAGCAGAAAAACTGAAATTGTATTTTCTTGTACAAATTTCAGATCAGTTTTACAGTGTAAAATCATCTTAACACATATTGTTTACTTCAAAAGCAATGCTTTTGAAACAGTGCATATTTAAACATGTAAAACATATACATAATTTTATCTTTATTTTATGTGTGTGTTTGTGTGTGTTTGACATTGTGCATCAAATGCTGTTGATTGATCTTAACTTGTATTGAACCCAGAATGTTCCTTTAACTATAGTCAGCATGAGATATCAAAAGCAATCTTCACATAGCATTAATATCTGATTATCAGTTCTTTTAAAGACAAATTCAAAATAAAATATTACAATAAAGTCAGCATTTAAAATGATGATTATAAACCAGTTTTAAATGGTCAGCGTATGAGTTCTTTTTCCATTTTACGACCAATTGAAATTCAGCACTGCAGCTGAGCTCAACAGCGGCCTTACACTCCCAGACTCACAAGACCAAACATGTCAGATCATCCCAAAATCTATGTGGGAAAAAATCCAATTATTTCTCCTTTCTGCCCAGAGAGTGCGAGAGAGAGAGAGAAAGAGAGAGTCAGGATGTCACTTGGAGATGAGATGGCCACTTCACTTCTCTTAGGGTCCTTATTGTTCATCTGCATGGACCATTCATTACATTGAATTATTTTCCTCATTTGCAAGTCATGCAATTTATTGTTTATTTTTTTTTGGATTTTGAAGAATACATTTATGCAATATTCCAAAAAATCTTATTTATTCATATTTTTTTCCCCTCTGAAAAAATTCTATTCATTTGCCCTAATCTCATATTCTCTCATACTATAATAACCCATAAGAAGTCAAACATTCTTGTTGTTTTTTTTGCAACTTCAAAGAGGGCATTACAGTTAGACAAAGGGCTAATTTAGAGTCTCTAAACCTTAATTATAACTTCACGGTTTTATTTACGGAAACGTTAATTGGTGAGATTGTGTCCGAGCATAAACCCGTATTCCAGCACTGCAATTAAAAGCCTTCGTTCAGGGTTGGCAGCTCCCACATTACGGCTTCAAAGGCAGAGAAATCAAAGTATCTTAGATCCGCAGGTGTGGTGTTCATTACACTAGAATTTGGTATTTCGTTTAAAATAATAACACAGCTGTGGTCAATAACAATGATACATTTGGACATTGAGCGAGCCGTTCGCTGGTATCAAATAGCATCAGGTTTGTTTATTTATTCACCTGTCATGCATTATTGCAATAGTTCTAATTAATGTGTGTGTTTGTAAGTGTGTGGAGGGAGCATATTGGGCGAGATGTAATTTCACTCTTTCATCCGTCCGCAGGGACTAGCTGGGCCCCTAATCTGGCCCCGTGAGCCCTTGCCCTGGGTTGAACTTTAGCCCTGAGAGGGTCAGCCACTGGCCCGCTGGGAAACTGCCTCCACCGGCCGGCTTAATCCTGGCCAGTCGATAGACGCGGGGTAGCGGGACACGGATGGAACCCTCCACACACACTTAAACAAATGCACCTATATATACACACATGCACAGACATGTAAACGGCTCATTTCAATATGTGGTAAGTGGTGTTATCGACAAGCAGGTGCAAAAGATCATTCACATGCACATCATTTCAAATGCACATCCACACATATACGCAAATCCAAGTGCATCTAATTTCAAGAGACCTATAAAAAAGTACTGACACTGTGGCATAAACACATACACACACACACTCACTGGTATATTTATGCATATGATTTGAGGCAAACTCAGGAGCCTTGACTTCAGGGCACAGTGTGCTGGATTGATGTGGTAATATTTTAAAGGGCAGCCAAGTGAGTGGAACATCACTTTAGCAACGGGTCAATGGAAGAGCAGATCGTCTTATTTAGATTTGACAGGATAGGTTTGATTTCGTTCTATCTGCTATAGGTTTCACCGCAGTTTTTTTTTAAACACAGGTCTGTATCTGAACTTTGGCTGTTGATTTACATTGCAATATGTAATAAATCAATAACAGAAATTGATATCTAAGAGCACCCTTTGTCGAGTTTTGACTGACAGACATCAGGTAGATTGCAGCCTCCATGACAATGAGATGGGTGAGTGAAGTAGATATATTGGTAGCAACTCCCTAAATTACAGTACTAAATAGGATGGAAGAGGGAGATAGGAAGTGAAGGGGGTGAGAATGGGTTTTTCAATGAGCTTGACTCTCTGGGGAAAGGATCGGTCAGTAGACGATTGTGATTAGGGTCAGGGTGGGCATATCATCAGAGGCACTGGGCAAATTTATTGTAGGGTTGGGGTTAAACATATGGTTGTGTGCTTTTGAGCCCCAAGGTTATAGTTACAGTTCAGGTAGGGGTATGTAGGAATTATTGTATTTTTTATAGTAATATTTTAAATGATTGTATTAGTAATATATATTTTTAGTTACTGTATTTGAAAATGTACATTTGTAAATGTATAATTTTTATATTATATTAAAATATATTTATTATATTCTATTCTATTCTATTCTATTCTATTCTATTCTATTCTATTCTATTCTATTCTATTCTATTCTATTCTATTCTATTCTATTCTATTCTATTCTATTCTATTCTATTCTATTCTATTCTATTTTATTCTATTCTATAAACGTGGTGAATCCTTATGTGTTGCTTATTTTTGACATGGAAGGAGCATAAATATCTTGGTGCCAGAACAGAACTATGAAATTAATATCTAATTATTTAAATAATATAAAATATTTTATTAATAAATGTATTTGTAATATTTTGTTTAGTTGTTATATTTGAATAATAATACATCATTTTTATATTTTATTATTCTATTCTATTGTATTCTATTGTATTCTATTCGTTTTGTGATGTATTGTTTCATTTCATTTATTTATATATATTGCACCTTACAGGCTAAACAGTAGCTCCAAAGTGCTGCACATTAAAATGAAGAGAACAACAAAACAAAAAAGACATCAAAATACCAATGTACTAAAATACCAGAGAGTACAAATATGGTTTTAGACGACACTTAAAAACATTAAGTGTCTATTCTATTCTATTTTATTCTATTCTATTCTGAATCTGGTGAATCCTTGTCTGTGTTGCTTATTTTTCACTACCTCTTCACATTGAACAATCATAAATATCTTGGGATCAGAATTTTCTAGAACCTACAGAAACCTTGTGGAATATTGATTGAAGCAAAGTTTTGAGACTTTCTCTGAGTAAAAGAGCAAAAAGTCCTACCACAATTCCTCTCTGCATGTATAGCCATCCTCTTGTTTCTTATTCACTCATGTTGTTCCTTAATGTTTGTAAAGTGTTTGTTTGACCATTTTAGTCATATGCAATTTGTATTACTTATGGAGACATGAAGGTCCAAGCTCATCATTAATCAGTACACTATGTCTCATTCCATCAGTCTGCTTACATTTTGTTATAGACCTGCCCAATGGATTAACTCGAGATGTCAGCCTTAATCAACTCTATGCCTAAGGTGTAATATTCTAATGTGGATATAAAACAGGGACACGCCGGCTTTCGCGGCTTAATTACATCTCATCTGGAAGAGTGACAGCCAGAGAGTTTGACAGATAGATAGACAGATAGATTGATAAATAGATAACTTTGACCTACGGGGCTCCTTGTGAATTTCACTTACACACTGAAATGGCTCTACCTAAACTGTTTATTAACAGGCAAAGGGAGGGCAGGAGAAAAAAAATAAATTACCAGAAAAATAAATTAACGCCGGCTTGCACCCCATCTCTGTCCAATCAAATGGCCAAAGATTACCCCATATAATTATACTAAAGGGCAATTGGTTGATATGAGTGCAGGTCGGAGGTCGTGGCCGGCATAAGTGATGCGCTGGTAGACTGTAATGTGGTCTGCTCGTCTCTGGCTCTGACCCTATTCCACTGCCTGATTGCCGCCTGTCACCTTCTCTTCAACTCATGTAAATTGTGTCTGCTACTCTAGCACTGGTACGGGAAAAGAGGGGTGGGGGACTGAGTGTTTGTGTGTGCAGGAGGGGTTTTCTCTGTCCAGCCAAACTGCGGACGCTCTGCCTGTATCGAAACCCATGTGTCTGTAATGGTTTCTGGGTGGCAATTTGAGCGACGACGTTTTGGACTCATCCTCCTTAATAGGGTGTCCTCCTCCGGCTAAAATTGAATAGCCCCGACATGGCCCAAGGCGGGCGATAAAAATTCAATAATTCGGCCGGGGTCAGAGTCCTGTCATTTTTTGGGGATGGGGTGAGTAATTATGCTGCACTAACATGGACAGGGGGGTGAGGGGTTATTGGATTGAGGAGGAGGTGCACCTGAACTTCAATAGCACCGTAACCTTCACAAGTTCTCCAAGTTTCGTGCCACAAAACCCATACAATCTAAATGCACTGTTTCTAGTGAGGGACATTGTCTGAGTCGGGGTGCGTATAGCCAATTTATTTTAAAATGTGTTAATTTCATACTCCTTTACTGTAATAAATCCTGAAATGCTTTTTTGACTGAAAAACATTAATTTGATGCATCATTCTTGCCACGCATAACGTATATTTCCACTGATCCCCATATATGTCACAAATCAACAAGCATAGTTCTCCATAAAATGTCGCAACAGCAGTTCTGGTAGAAAATTGAAAACAAAGGAGTCTCCCTCCTCTGAGAGCGTTGAATGGAAGGTTTCACATGTCTTTTGTCCTGTCAGTTTTATATGACATTATTATTCTCAGGGTTGTAAATTCCAGGCATGTTAAGATCTCAGACAACAACAATATAAAATTCAATCAATGAGGTGCTCTTTGTGTCTGCCCCTGCGGATGTTCTGCTGCCTGTGTGAGTTCTTAAATCACAGGCAGGAGGATTCTGCATAATTGCATGGTGGCGCGGATCTGATGTGGGCTGTCTGAGCACTGGCCTGGGTGTTATTGAGCTAATGTGAATTGCTGTTTAAAACGGGCTCATAAAATAAGGCCGTTGACACAGGGTCGGTTTGGAGCTGCGTGTTTTGTCGCACGTTATATTACGGTATTAATATTAAAATGTGCTATTGAATTTAATTATATTTATGTGTCACACTGGCACTGAAATGTGAAATATTACCATATTTTTCTGCCCATAAAAGTGCGATGCGTATGTATTTTATATATAGGTTTATGTGTACAGGCTAAGACTTGACAGTAAGATTTAGAATTACTACTACTCATTACTGCTACTCATCTTCAGATATGCACACCTCAAAATATTCACCACAATTATTTATTTTAAACTGTCATCGCAGCTATTATATATGCAATTTTACCCACATTATGTATAAATATTCACTGCAGTTCTATACTCTAAGACCGCAAAAATGATTTTTAATGAAAAATGTTCTATATAGATTTTCCAAGATGGAAGCCCAGTCACTTTTTTTTTTTAGATGGTTGCTTTTCAAAGTACATGCAATAAAGAAGATATTCAAGCAGACTTTCTTTTAGATCTGCTGATTAGATCTACAATGAGTATAAGAATTTTATAAAAAGAAGCTTTTATAACAAGTTAGCAAAAACATCAGTATTTCAATTTTGGATTTATTTAACACACATTATGCTGGCATAAGTCAGAATGTGTAATTGCTGACGAGATAGTGATTGAGCATTATCTGATGGCCTTGTCATTAGGATGCTAATGAGAGACTGGTCTATTCTGCCCAGCCTTGTCTTCGCTCTGTGGCTAAATGAGAATGACACGGCCCACCTGAGACGGATCATCCTCCAGTTAATATTTCCAATCTGTTAATCAATGAGCTGATCGATAGATGGTAGGGTGAGAGGAGACAGACCGGGCCCCCCAACTGTCAGCATGGTGCCCCCGTGGGATTGCGGGGCTACACTGGCTCTCTGGATCAGGTGGCAGCTGAAGTATCAAGTCCTCATGCCGGTTTTTACAATGTTTGATTCTTAAATGCTTGTTATTTAAAAAAAAATGATGGATTAATAAGATGGCTATTCTGGAAAAAAAAAAAGTTTTTTTTTTTTTTTTTTTCTCCTTTTTTTTTTTCGGGGGGGATGATGAAATACAAAACCCGAAAGAGCCACACCAGGTGCTGTTCATTGGCCACACTGCAGACTGGAATCTTGCACAAAAATAACAACTTTTTTTTTCTTTTTTTTCTTTCTTTTTTTTGCAAAAGATCAAAGTGCAAAGGGGAAGACAAATCATATTAACAGTGTAATAAGAAAAGTTTTGGCTGGTATGCTGCAGGTCGTGGAGCAGTAGCTGAAGGGAGGTCTTTATTTTGACATCAAGCTGCACAAAAAAGCCCCCTTAAAAAGCTTATTATGTTCTCTGGTTGTGGCAGTGCCGGCCCATTCCCGGCCTCGAAGCAGGCGAGCTCAGGACCAAGCTGTAGCACATTAGAGCCAATAAATGTGCGTTGGCACTACTCAATTTAAAGTAAAGCCCTCTCTTGCCTGGCCGGTCTGCCTCATTCCTAATAGGGTATTCCACAAACGCAGCTCA